TCGGAGGCAAATCCACCGGGACAGGAGCATCTCCGGCCCCACAGAGCATCCCAGGGCAGGGCAGCCGGGTAGATGGCATCTGCACTGCACCGCCAGCTCCAAAATCACTGCAGGCACACAGATCATAGCTCCCATCCACCACCGTGCCCGTCCAGCCAGGGCCATGGGGACCAAACCTGCACATTGGTCCTGTGCAGCCCCCACAGTCGTGAGCTGCTTCGGAGTCATTCAAATCTGAGTAAAACTTATTTTTTTCCACTTGGCATGGAGAGGGGCTGTGATCGGACACTGCAGAGCGATTTTTCACGGTGGAGCTCGCTCCATGGTGTTAAAAGCGCTACTTACTTAACAAACAATCCATTTATCAATATTGTTGTTTTAAAAAAAAAAAGGAAAAAAGGTTTGTAAAGCTTAACTCTGAAAGATCTGATTTAATGACGGAGGTGATTAATTTCTAAGGGAATCCAGCTGCTGAGCTGTGAAATAAATACTCAGGGGCTAAGCGGTGTGTACATATTGCTGAGAGCCGCAGTGTGCTCTCTGGGCATTGCGGGGCTGCTTTCCCCTGGCACCGCTTAATTCCAGGATAAAAATTTATCCAGGCATTTTTATCTTCCAGTTTTAGATTATGATTGATAGCGTGCTCTATGTATCTATAAATCTAATGAGAAATGGAGGGACTCGCTGCGGCAGAAACATAGCTGTACAACATGTGAGTATATTAAATAATGAATAAAAGCAGAGGTAGCCCCCGGGAAGGACCATTTGGCTGCTAACCCTGCTTTCGGAGTGCAGCCCATCTCTGCCGAGATTTTCGCTGACTTCAGGCAGAGCAAACTTTTCCTGCTGGTTTCTTGATCTGGAGAGGCCTTTCCTGGAGCCTGGAGGAGCCCGGGCTGACGCTGGCAGCCAGTGGGAGCATTACGCTGCGTTTATTGCAAAGGGAAATTCCTGTTTTTAAGAAAACCAAGCAAGGAGGTGCTGAGGAGTGGAAGTGAGGTTGCAAGGATCTCCGTGGTGTGTGGCATCGGCTGCAGCACACAGCGGTGGTGGGCCCAGGAGGGGCCAGCTCTTGTGTGCGAGGGCTGGCAAGGGACACCACGGGGGGTGCGACCCTGCGGGGTTTGGGGCCTGATGTGACTTGTGTGGCAGAGCTGCCACGTAATGAGTTTACCCGAGCACCTTCATCAACCAAACGATCCAAGTGGTGGTTTTCCCGTAACAAAACTTGCAAAGCTGCCGCAGGTCGGACGCGTTTCAGGAATCGCTTTCGGGAGCGGTTCTCGTCGCTGGGTTTTTACTTTCCGGAAAAATCCAAAGCTCTTTGACTCTGGCTCATTCTGTTGCTGCTCTGACTCTTTGATGTGTTAACTGTTGTCCTTCACACTCCCGGGATAAAGAATTACCACTGCCTTAATCTCCAACTGTCAATAGCTCTGCAGCAAAGTACATTCATTGTAAGCTCTCCAAATGTCAGAGCAAACCCGTGTTATGTGTTTAGCCTCAGCATTTGGCATTTACTCTTCCAGCTAACAAGTATGCAGAGTCCTTGGGCTCCAGACACCCAAGTGCATGTTAATTACGTGAGTGACAGCTCTCCTGCGCAGCGCGAGGTGTTGCGATGCGAGATGATAATGAAAGCTTTCGGCAGTTTTGCCTGAGCAGAATAAATCTCAGACTTTAATACCTGCTGTAAAATCAAGGCCCGCCCACCCTCCATGTCATTTTTGCATTGTGTTTAGAAACATAAACCCTTTACTGATCTTCAAACTTCTGTCTCTCTTTTGTTTTGTTTTTTTATGTTTATTTTTTACGTTTCTGTGATCCAGGTTACCCGAACTTTGTTGCGACATACGGCCGAGGATATCCTGGATTTGCCCCAAGTTACAGCTATCAGTTCCCAGGTACGTACATTTCATTTGCAGATTTACTTTTTTCCCCTCTTTCCTTCTTTTTTTTGTTTTTTTCTTTTTCTTTTCTTTTTAAATCCACAGCTGCAAGCTGAGACAGGCAAGTCTGCAGGGAGCATCTCACACCACAGTTTTTTTCCTACTATTTTAAAATAAGCATTTCTATATACATAGTTTAAATACATTTTTACTGACGTGCAAATTGGTACTGGTTATTTGAAAACAAACTTCTTAATTTAAAACACAAAGCAACAGAGATATTTTAAGAGCTGTTATTCTCCCTTTGCTGGGGTTTTCTTTTCATCCATGTTATAAGACAGACACAGGCACACACAGACTGCCACACACCGTTCCTGCGATCAGTGTGTGTTCGTTACAGGCGCAGTCTTGGAGTGAAAAATCCGATCTTCCTCTGCTCTCGATCCATCCCTCTGGTGTCCTTCACAGAAGCAGTTTCTAGCTGCGCGCTGATGCTTCGGTTCGGTGTCCTCCTCATTTCTTGGCATGGTGGCACCAGGTTGGGTGGCTGCACCGTGCCGTGGGTGGGGGTGCGGTGAGCAGTGTCCTTGGGACGGTAGTGCCCGTGGAGCCGGTGTGTGCAGGACTGAACAGCAAGGGGAACTGTGCCGTTAGGGAGTTTTCTGTAATTCACAAATTCCGGGGCTTTACCTGAAACTCCTCTGCCTTTTTCCCACCCGTGCCACCACCCTCCCAAACTGAGTCAGGTCAGAAACAAGCCAGGGCTGACAGCAGGGCTGCTGGGGCGGGTGACGCGGCTACCGGTGGTGACAAGGCAGGAGACATGACTGCCAGTGGCCCCGGCTGGCGGGATGCAACCGTTGGCACCTGGGTGTCAGGAGGCGGCTTCAGAAGGTTTCTGCGCGTTGTCTCGCGCTTCCCTCCCGGGTCCTTACGACTCCTTGTGCCCGCTGATTTTGTATGAAGACAGCTAAATGAGAGACGGCTGTGATAAGTTAAATGATGAAAACTGGCAGAGCTTAGATGGCTTCAATTATGAACGTGTCTAAAATGAATGTGTCTGCCAGCTGACAGTGGAGGTACCGTTTGATTCTAGCCCTCGCTATACACGTTTTTATTAAGGACCTGGTTTTTTGAAACAGGCCTTGCAGTTATTTGCTTGTTATTTTCAGTCTCTTGCAGAGATTGAATATGCAGAAGAAAATCAAGATGGGTTGTCCCCAATAAAAAGCAGATGCGCCTGGTGGCAGGCACAGGTTGTGCCTTCGGGAGCAGGGCAGCAAAGGGGAGATGCACAGACTCCTCTGTCCCCTTGCAAGAGGCAACCCAGGACCACAGGAGCAGAGTTCAGGCTGCATTTTGGGAGTGTTTCGGAGTTTGAGGACAGAGATGTGCCAGCATCCCCTGCTCATTCCTGCCACGGGGACGTGTCGGGCCATGGGACAGGGCTTGTGCAGCCCTTGCTCCTCCAGACGCCCCAGGAGGAATCGGGTGGGCAGCCTGGCACAGCCGTGGGGAAGGTGCAGCCTGAGCCCCCGACCCCTCCATCGCCGTGTTTTGGCACTTGCGGAAGTGCCCGTGGGGCCATGGTGTGGCTGTGGCTTGGAGCGTGAGATAGGAGCACGGGTGAACCCAATGGAGAGCAGCCTCAAATCTGCTTTTTTTAAGTTCTCATGCCCAAATGCTCAGTGTCATGATTCAGAAAGAAAAATGCTTGGCCGTTTCTGCCAGAACATCCCAGACAGCGTGCCCCAGAGCTGCGGCTGCCTCCCGCCTCTGCGGTACCTAAAGAGCGGCGGTGTTCCCCCTGCAGCGATGTGTTTGTATAAATATATACATCTAAATATCAATACATATAAATATCCAGCTGGGCTCCCTGTGGCTGGTAATAGAGGAGGCCTGGCAGGGCGGGCAGCAGCCGGGTGTAGCTGTGCACCACCATGCGTCCTTGTGGGCCAGCGGGCGTTATTCCCATTCCTCCTCAGGGTTCACTACCTATTTACTTTTTTAATTAAAAAAAAAAAATGGAATGCCCATCTGAATTGACCTGTCCCGTTGGTATTTACTGCTGTCCAAGAGTACAAGTGCCATGATGCGCTGTTCACGTTCCCGTGTCTGTGCGAGACGCACGCAATCACTTTGGCGACTGCTCTATCCTCTCCCATCATGTTATTTTTTTCTTCTAGGCCTCTAGAACTCACTACATAGCCTTTTCTTTTTTTTTTTTAAATTGCAATCACTCCCTTTCTGCGTCTTTTTTTTTTTTTTAATTTCTGGGACTTATCTTTTCAGTTTAATCTATTAATTTCTGTTCTTATTTCACTTTGCAGACTATTTGCCGATTTCACAAGACATAATTTTTATCAACTAGTTCTTAAAGATGCATAACAAATTAATCGGGGTTTACTACAGTGCTAATGAGAGAGAGAGAGACAGAAAAAGCCTGGGTGGTCCATGTTTAATATCAATGTCCACTGAAAAATTGCTGCTCTTACTGGCTGGTTTGATTGACTGGACTTTTTATTTTATTTTAATTTTTTTAAAGGCTCCATATCCTCACTGCTTTGAGTTTGCTTTTTATTTTTTTCATATTTTTTTTTTCCTCTGCTTTGTTACAAGTTTTTAATGCCCACTTGGAATGTAACTCACAAGGATTGGGGATAGGGGCGTTGTGAAGACATGACTTCTCACAAACTTTTTAGAAACAGTTTTATTACGGAAGCAAAAATGATGATTTGGTCTCACAGGCAGCCCCAAGGAGAGAGATTGGCGCTTTTTAATACGGAGATGTGCAGTAGTAGCACAAATTGTAATTGGGGTGGAGCGAGACTAGCATCTCCTGTCGCTACAGTCATTAATGACACGGAGTTTAATTATTCAGAACGAGTGCCCTGTGTCTCCAGGCCTGCCCATGTGGCGCTGGCGGCTGTGGACGTCGCAGCCCAGCGCCCGTTTTCTCCCGTTCCATTGGCTTTGGCTGGTGACTCTGTCCTGGAGCCGCCGTGGCCGAGGCCATGGCCAAGGGCTCAGCCATCCCTGCCCCCGTAGCCAGCCCTGCCCTGGCCACCAGCCCCTCTCACGCAGGCACTTCTGCTGCCAGACCTGGCTTGCAAATCATGGGCAAATGACTTAAACTTTGGCAGTGAGCTCCCCCTGCTCGCTTGAGCTGTACCGCGCCTCTGAATCTCCACCCAAATCGCCGAACGTCGCCACCCCGGGGGATAATGCCTCCTCCCATTGGCTTTATTTTTAACGCAATCAGATTCTGGACTGTCGGGTAGAAAACACACATTGTATTTAAATTCTGTCTTTTCTTCAGGTGTTTCTACCCATCTTACAAGTTTGTGAGAAGTAAATTGCATGCTTACAGTAGAACCGTAATGCATTTTAATGTTTGTTAATCCACTTGTTTAAAATGTCAGTGTCAAAGGCTCTACAATACACGGCTATGCTGTTCATTTCATTAAAGATGCTTGATGTAATAATTGGTTAGTTTTCTTTTTACTTTTCTGCAGGCAGTAGCTTTTTTTAATCTGTATGGCTTCTTACTTTGTTTCGGTTTTTTTGCTATGAATTGCTTTGCTTTTGTGAACTTGTCTTAGTGTGCATGATTTGCAAACATTTCGGCTATTGTGAATTTTCTCATTTTTTGTAAATAGTCCATCTGTGCTTTTCTTTTTTTTCTTTTTTATGACTTTTTTTCCTGTAAGTAACTGAGGTAGAAAATAATAATAAATTGTTTACAACGGACATGCTGTGTTGCTGCTCTCTTAGCTTGCAGTTTTAATCTTTTGGTTTGGATGCACCAAATAACCAGTACCAATGACAATGGAATAAAAGAATAAAACACCCATCACTCAGAGCGTGCGGCCCAGTGCTTGAAGACCCTGCAGATGAACGCTTACAGACGAGGTGTGTTTACAGCACAAATTAAAACCAAAAACATAAAGACGGCAGTGCGGGAGGGGAGTGACTGTGGGTGACGATGGCAGCGTTCCCCGCAGTCTGCTCTTCCCCGCTGCGGTCAGCCCAGTCCGTACCAGTGACCGAGCTGGGGTTAAGCAGCAAAACCCGTAAGCGTGTTAGAAACCTTTGCTGCAGCCTCTGCGGGACTAAGGTGCAGGGCTCTGAGGTTTGGAAGTGGGAAGGACAATCGGGTAACTCGTGTCACTGTGAGGGGGTCCCCGGTGTTCTCGGTTCAGACCCCGCGGTGGGATGGGGACTGCTGGCCGTGCTGGCGAGGCAGAGATGGTGCCCTCGCTGTGTTTATCCCAGTTATGCTTTCTTCCATCACTACTGGATGGTTGGGGATTGTCAAGGTTACTTAGAAGCCTTCAGCTCAGGAATTTAATTTTTTGTTTTTAATTAAGGGTCTGTTTGCTTGTATGTTTGTTAAAGCTCATTAAAACCTTTGTATATGGGGAGAGGTGGGAAAAACAAATATTTTCACAAACTTTTCAGAGCTCAGGGAAATACACTTGCTTATTAATCATGGCACTCCATAGTCCATGAAGCCGCAGTGCCTGGTGCTGTGAAAACGCAACACAAGATCAGTTCAAAGTCTAAACTGATGTTTTTCATTATTATGAGAGCATTTAAAAGGGAGGTTTTGTTAATCTGTAGAGCTTAATTTAGTTTCTTTCCTGACAGCAGTCACAAACTGCTCACTTGTTGGTTCTGGGCAGGAAGGCATCCTCATCTAAAATTTCTTCGTGGGTGCTTGCCTAGCAGGTCTGAGCAGGGGACGGGTAAGGAGGTCCCTGTCTGTTCCTTAGGACACCCAGCAAGATCTGTTGCTGCTGGAGGTTTCTCACTCTTGGATAATGACCTCTTCAGTAAATTAAATTACCGGTAATTAAGTAGCTTCCAGTGCAGTGCCGAGCTGGCCGTCCCATCAGTAGCAGGGTGTGCGTGGTGCTTCAGCGACCCCGAGCCACAGCCCTGTGTACATGAGCACCCAGCCACTCCGGTGATGGAAAGGGGTTTTAAAGTGGAGATGCTGCCTGTACCAGTAG